AGATTTGATGTTGCCAGAATGGCAATCAATACATTTACTCACAATGTTATCTGTAAAGTGTTTGCTCCCCACCATTCAGTGGTCATCTGTGCCCATTTCCTTGGTCTCCGGTTTGGTGGGGTTGGTCTTGAGCATGGAAAATGTGATGAAGGTTGGAAGTCATTTCTTTATGTATTTCTTTTCTCTTTCTTTATTATATTCTTACTTTTTTTCTCTCTTTTTTCTCTCTTTTTCCTTGCACTTTTTACTCATTCTCTATTTTTTTTTCATTCTTTAAGTTTAGTTTGTATTGATTTTATCATTATAATCAAAACTCTTAATTAAAAAAACCCTAAAAACTCAGCCCAGCCATAAAAGCATTCAGAAGGCCAAGAGATTATGCTGAGAGGTGAGCAGAGCTCGGGGAAAGCAAAACCAGAAATGATGTGCATGGAATAGGTGCCTGTTTGTTCTTTCAGAACCCCACTGTCTTTGTAGTCCTGACCCTTCACCTCATAGTTGCACCCTAATGGCCTCGCTGATCTCACTAGGCACATGATCTGTTCTAGCCAATGAAATACCTGGCTGCTATATCCAATCACATGCACATCCTAATTTACGTCAATCTAGAAAGAGGGACTGTAATCCCACCCCTCTTTAGCCCTGTCTTTGCATCCAGCCCTGCCAACAAACCAATTTCTGCTTCAGTGTAACTCTGTCTGGATCTCTGGTTCAAAGGACTCCCTTTGAGGGAAGTATTTTCTACTACACAAACAATGTGTCAGAAAGGTGATGGCTCCTCCATTCACTGCAATATTAGGTTCCAATAATTGCATTGAATGGACCAGATAAACTTGGCTTGATAAATTTGAAATGACATGTTGGCATATAATCAATCAATCAATCAATCAATTAATTAAGAAATAGGTTGGGGATAGGAAAGTCTGAGTTACTTAAGTCTACCTACAGCTGAGTCTGTAGCATGCTTTCCTCCATTCCAAAGAGAATAAATAAGGTATATAGCAGAACTGCACAGGTCAGAGACAGCAGCAGCAGCAGCAGCAGC